AGTCATTTGATTAATGGTTTCAAATCCAACAAAATCTGGAGCTGTTTCATTGCACTTCATTGTCGTTATTTTTAGAAAAAATCAGATTTCTCGAATTCTCGATGCCATATTTTCTAGTCAAATAAGTGCACGCTGTTTGGATAGCCGCATACATATAACGGCTATGTGTGGTGATCAGATACCTGTTCAAGGCATACTAAACTCGATTCTAGTTTATTCAAAACGCCTTGTTTCCTATGCTTGTGGTAAGTATAGATATTTCAAAATTTGTTGTCTCGCGTGAAATTTCTTTCTTAAGGTTTCTTGCCTGGCGATATTATTATAGAGGAGGGAAGTTAACTAAATATTTCTTTGCCAATGATTTTTCTTCTTGAGTGAAAAGTGGAATTTTTTTCTACAATTACGATTTTATTATTGGATTTTTGTCTTCGCCCTTTTGAAGTTAATTTTGCAGCCGGGAATGCAGTACTGGATATTAGTTTACCAGCTTTAAAACAATGTGCTCGTGTGGGACTTTCGTTTTCTTCATATCATTCCTGGTTTTTTAGTCAGACACCAGTCTTTCATGGGAACATTATGGTGTATTGGTAGGGCTTTCAGTTTTTTTATAAACAGATTTAAAGTTAGAAGATGCCAGTAGCGTTAACAAAGTTTAAATGGGGCTTGATATTGGATAACTTTATTAAACAGATTAATCACCAGTAGAATCAGAAGATGGAAATTAAGTTTTGGGATACTGGAAGCTCAAACTTATAATCATTTAAATCACTAATTTCCTCGAAGACGCTTTGATGTTCATCTACTGCGAAACTTTTTCTATATTATTAAGAACCACAAGCTTGAAAAGGGGTAAAAATATGTAGGAGTTTGTTAAATAAAAAGGTAACTCAGAGTCTCATATGTTAAGTCTTCCATTGCGAACCACAGTTTTAGAAACGTGTTGTTTGACACTGTTATGCGGCAGCATCAAACTTGATTGGTTTACTGAGGTTGGCTGTAAGTGTTTAGACGTTCTGTGTAAGACTTTCAGCTCTTAACAGTGTCATCTAGCTTGGTTTGTTTGCTTGGATGCAGGTAGCTGAGCATTATAGAAGCCATGGATCGTTTGTCATAATAAACTTTTTATGCCTTAAAGCCTTTTACTTGCGCTTTTCAAATATCGTAACGCTTTCGGGTATTACGTGAGACCAGTTCTTCATTGCAAGTTACACTCCTGTCGTAAAGAAGGTTTT